CAGACAGAGAGAGAGAGAGACACAGACAGACAGACAGAGAGAGAGAGAGAGAAAGAAACAAAGTGAGAATGCTTACGTGTATAAAGAAGCTGATCTCAGAGCTGACACATGAGCCTGGTGGCAGGAAGACGACTGTCAGCACCTTCAGGTTAAACTAAACTAATACGAAATGGCAGTTCCTGTCGTATTTTAAAAACACGTTTTATTTAGACTGGACATAGAAAAATATTTACAAAAATCTTTACTTTATAAACAAAATGAACTAAAACAACACAAAACATTAAAAAATTGTCTAAAAAAAATAAACAATTTCTTCAGTCATTTATTAAAGAACCAAAGCTCTAAAACTAAAACGTACAGATTATACACAACTTTAAGGTCTTACCTGCTGTTCTGTCAAGTTTAGCTTTTTCTAGTTTTAGTTCCATTTTATCTAGTTTTTATATAACATTTTGCTCCCTTTGTCTTTTAGTTAGTATTTTGCTTCTTTTAGCTTTTAGCTGGTGTTTTGCTTCTTTTAGCTAAAATAAAATTTCAATTCAGTTACTCGTACTGTACAAAAAAAAGTCAATCTAAAGAAGCCAGCAGATTGTGTTGAATCATTTCATCACAGTTTCCCATCCTGAGCAGCACAATGGTGACAGTGGAGAGGAAAAACTCCCTTTTAACAGGAAGAAACCTCCAGCAGAACCAGGCTCAGGTCAGGCGGCCGTCTGCCTCGACCGGCTGGGTTTGGGGTCAGGAAAGAGAGACAGATAAACACAGGACTGGTCCAGATGTATTTTCAATTGGGAAAGACACAAAGAAAACACGTTATTGATAGAAATAATTACAATAAATATGTGGAGAAGAGAGGTTAAAGACAACAGCAGAGTGAAGAAATGTGCTCAGTTTGTGCTCCAGCAGTCTAAGTCTATAGCAGCAGAAATGAAGAATAATTCAGGAAACCTAAAGGAAAGTCTTCAGACTAATCTTAAAAGTAGACAGAGTGTCAGCCTCACGGACAGAAACTGGAAGTTGGTTCCACAAGAGAGGAGCTTGATAACAGAAAGCTCTGCCTCCCATTCTACTTTTAGAAACTCCAGGAACCACAAGTAAACCTGCAGTCTGAGAGCGAAGTGATCTGTTAGGAAAGTATGGAGCAATAAGATCTTTAATATATCATGGAACTTGGTTGTTAAGAGCTTTGTATGTTAGGAGTAATGTTTTAAATTCTACTTTAAGCTTCATCAAGTTAGCATTTAGCTTCTTTTAGCTAGTTTGCTGTTTATATAAGCATTAATAACTCGTTTTCAGCTATGTTTTTTAATCGAATCTCATCATTCGGTCTTCACGCTGCATTTTCACAGATGGTTTTCAGTCTGATTCTACTTTCCTTGGCAGTCAGGGAGTGACAGACACAGGTGTGTGGTAACTATGTGACCATAATGCTTTGTTCTTGTTCCTCTCTACACTTCTCATACAGTCCACACACCAACACGTGGGCCTTTTGATCAGTCGCTGCGTTAGCACCCTTTAACATTGCTTCAAAAAATCTCTCTGGTTTTCTCATTATCGAGCAAAAAAAAAAAAAAAACAATGTGAAAGTGTTTATCGAGTTTCCATCTCGTCCTCACACAGATGCCTCTGTAACAACACGACGCCCTTTTATTTCTGAGCTCACAAC